CCTATGCAATAGTCTCTTACATATTTAAAGACTGTCAGGAAAGACCGTCTTTCCTGAAAAATCACTATATTTTTTAAGAAAGATTGCTAACCTAGAAAAGCAGTCATTTAATTAAGTTTGACCTTTTCTTTTTGAGCTCAACATTCTGTATGCAATATTCTAATCAGACTGAACAGATTAGAAGCAAAGGTAAAATAACATGGGCTCTCTCAGGTTTGAATGATGAACTAGGAAAATTCAAAGCAGCTTTTGTAGTATTGGATTTAGATCTCATTTTTCCAAACTAACTGACCAAACCCACTGAACCATAGCTTATTGGTAGCATCACTGTTAAAACTGATAATCTGATGATCTGATTCAGTGCACTTAGTATACTTAAACTAATCTCTTTACCTCTTAACTTTCTAAGTATCCTGGATCTCTTCACTATTTATACTGTATATATATTTTTCACTACTGTACAGTTTACTACTGTTCTCTTGTAACTAAATACTATGCAAGATTTGTAGCCTTGCACAAATAAAGACTTTATTCGTCATTTTTCACTGCCTATGAGGCACACTGCATTTCTTTTCAGTCTGGAGTATGGAATTGTACCTGAAGTTTCTAGAAATACCTTTTACCAAGGATTAACATGCAAACTCCACATTTAGAAAGGGAAATTCCAGTTGTGAAGTCTGTCTTTGAAAAACAGATTCAAACCTTCCATGTGGTACTACTGACCGGCAATTTTTCTGTATTCCTGAAGTATTTCCTAACTGCTGTTAAGAGTAATCCAATTTTTTTTTTTTTTTAAATGGTGTATCAGAAGAAAATTCAAACTTCAACTGCTTCTCTCTTAACTAAGCGTAAGACAAAAGCTTTATAATTCCCAAGGTGTTTGCATCTAATTTATAGATTATGGAATTACAGCTATGCTATATATAAAAATGTGCTGGTGATGGATGGATGGAACCAGATGATTTCAACAATCTCTTTGATAGTCACCTGCCAGTAGAACCAAGTTCTGAAGAACCCATACTCGAGGTGGACAGGTGGATAGTAATGAGTTGGAAGCCTTTAACATGCAGGTCACCAGTGACAGCCCACTGGGAGGCATGGTGAATACAAGTCATTAGGATCTAAATGCTGCTCAATGGCTTATGCGAGAAGTGAAAATTTCAATCCAGTGTTAGTATTTAATGACTCACATCCTAACACGTGACCATCAGAATTGGGGCAAGGACCAAGTGAGCTGAAGACCAATCTTTTTCTAGTCCAAAGCCTGCTGCGCTGTGGCTGATGTCACCTAAAATGGCATCCTCTGAATTCAGTGCAGTTATACTTTCATTAGAAAAATAAACCAAATAGTGTGTGGTTACTCACACACACACACACAAGTTAATAGCTCTACTTAGGTATTTTCTGATTAATGACTGATATTAGACTTTTTTCTTGAGCCTGAAGAAGGTCTGAAACAACAGTTTTAGCATGTGCAACTGTTGCACTCATCTCATCTGAATCCCACAGCAATTCAGCTATCAACAAACACAAATATTTCACTGTTACTGTCAGAGAAGCATCTGGTTCATGTGCTCACTCGCTGATGCGAGGTGCTGCGGCAACTCTAACGATCCACGCTCAGGAGACTCACGCTTCCATAGCTCCTCGCTAGCTCTACCCTCGAGGCTGCTGCTGCGCAGCGACGTGGCTCGGGAGCGGCCACGCCGCCGCTCAGCTCCTGCCGCCCTGGGACATCCCAGCTGATGGTATTAACTGCTCCCTGCATAGCTTTAAATAAGCATACTGTTACAAGCACAGCCACTTCTTTATTTTTCCCCACTGGTGTCTGCACTTAAGTGTCCTCTCATTTAGAAGAAAATAAATCACCTCTCTTCTTCCTCTTTCCGGTTTTGTCTCTTAACCTGTACAAGAAGCATCTAGCTCAGATCCCCGTTCTTGTCATTATTTCCCTGTTGATTGTTCTCCTGCACTCTCCATGGCAACATGGAAGGCACAGAAAGAGCCGTAAGGGTGGCACTAAATTGGGGCCTGGGAAAATGAAAAGTTAACTTGCTTCTATAATCCACTGTTTTGAGTTTAGAGGAGGAAAAGAGAAAGCATTATTAAGAATACTGGGACGCTTGCTTTTTGTTAGAGAAGCGGGCCAGAGATTTAGCACTACTGAAGACTGGAGGCAGTGAGGGAGTAAAGAGTTCAAACCCACTCCTCTTGAGGTAGCCCTTCAAGGTAGGGCCACAAATCATGAGTAGAGTACATGCAGAATTAAAGACCTCCTGGCCCGCAAAGTTTCTAGTGGATAAAAAGGGGGTGTCAGTCTTGAAAGGCAAGCCACCTCTTTCCAAGACAGTTAAAATCATTAGAAAGTTTCTGGAGGAAAATAAGATATATATTAAAAAGCTTGCAAAATTATTTCCCGTCATGATACTCTCTCTTTTAGCCTGTACATGCTCCCTGCCATATATAGTCACTGCTGTCACTGAGTCTGATGAGACCTATGCAAGACAAAAAAAAACCAAAAACAAAAACACACAATTGTTTTTCTTTTAGGGTTAACTACCAAAGAAATCAGCTAATCACCTTTCATAAAAGCCAGCCCAAACATGGTAAAATTAGAGAGAGAGATGTTTTCATAAAACTACAAAGAAAAACAAGGGAAACTTAGTTGTATCCCATTGTTTTTCATAGAGCTTATTATGTAATATGAACCATAATACAAACAATTAATCAACATCAACTTAACATTTAGGGATGGATCTCTGTGGTTGCCTTGAGCTCTGTAAATGAGGAAGGGTCTTCCTTTGCTTTCTTAAAATTTTGAAAAAAGATTTTCCTCCTCAGCACGCTGGTTGTTTCACTATCTTCTGTGGATATACCATAAAATTCACTTTGATTCACACTGCATGCATTTGTTACCTGTTCAGACTTTAGAAGTAGATTTGCCTTTTTCCTTCCTGCCTTAGTGACAGAAGATACAATAATATTTTTGGCCTCCAGAGGTCTCTAAAATATTTTACCTGGTTTCAGAATGTTATACTGACCTGAAAATATTTCTGTAATGGTTAATGGGTCCAGTTAACGCTCCAGGTTGTGAAAAGACATAGAGATAAGCTTCAATATCCTCTGCTGTTAGTCTGCAGCCTTTCCTTCCAATTCCAGTGGCCTGGCTGGTAAATAAATTTTTCAGAACCTAGAAAATGAAAAATAAAAAGCCGTGACCTAAGATGTCTCGAAAATGCTATTTCTCTCCTTCAACAGGACACATCTTTCTAAAACCTATCTATACATTTTGGAATATAATGCATGGTTCAAATGTTTTTTAGAGAGCTATGGGTAAAGCATACAATACACTTATCTCTGGTGCAATTTACTTCAGAAGAAGTAATTACAGACAAATACCCATATTACCAAGTTACTCACTTCTGGGACCTCCCCCGTCACCTGTGACAGGCAAAGGCAAGTTTAAGGCACAGATTTTTGTTGGAGTTGGTCCCCAGCAGCCAAGAGGGTGGGAGGGAGAAGGAGACAGGACACCCCCCCCTCCCAGCTGTGTCCTCCATGTGCATGCTGCTTTTGCAGCACCACTGGGAGCTCTGTACTAGACTGTGCACGTGGAAGAGGATGCCAGTTTTTAAAGGTTATACAAGATATTAGCCCTATTGGTTACTCAGGCAGAATTAATCACCTGGCAGAATTTGATAATCAGATGCCCGGACTGCCTGCCCTATGCCAGGCGATGAGGGACGGGAGGACGTGCCACTGCACAAAGGAGCTTCTGCAAAGTCGGTAGGAGTTCCCCAGGCACCAGACTTAGCGTGCACGCCAGCGGGACGCGTAATACGCAACCAGCTGACTAGCGCCTAGCTGGAGAAACGCACTACAGTGTTGTAGGTTAAAAGTACATACCTAAGCACCTGCCAGGAACGCAAAAGCAAGAGTGAATCCTACCAGAGGGTACTACACACTTATATCTGCATATGTATCAGTCTGTTTTAATACTCCACTAGCCTAAAAGAAATACATAAAGCTGAAGGAAAAACAAAAAACACCTTATTTCTCTCATGTAACTATAGTTTCTCTCCTGTAACTATAGTTATATAATAACATCAGAAAGGATCAACACAGGTGGTAATTGTTCCACCACTCACAGTTAAACATATAAACAAGAGCACTCATTTTGCTCACCTTGAAATCATTTACTGTAAACATGAATTCAGGAAACCATGGCATTTGGAAAAAGAAGTAGTAACCAGATTTAATCAATTGTGATGGATGTCGTAGAATGTATTCTGAAACAAAAATGCCCATGAATTAAAAATGAAAACTGATGACTCAAACAAAATTACTGTTAATATTGCTACTTTTTAAACTTAAAGGAATGTTTTAAAAGTATTACGTTAGAGCATGCTATGTGACAAAGGATGATTATTGTTTCAGGAGTAAGTATATGATGCGGCTATTAAAACATACGTCTTTTCTTATATGTGTTAATAGAAAGAGAGAGCAAAACAGAAGCCTGCCAAAGATTAGATGAAGAGCAGAGACCCTGAAGAGTTTCACAGCTTGATAAGTTTTCACTTTAAGTTCTATTTGTGCAGCTAGTCCAAAGCGTTTTTTCAGCTGTAGAATAACAAATACATAAACGCAAGTGTTTCTTCTGTCTTTAAGTTTTTCTCCTATCAAAAGCGTGATGCACATAAACCCGTAGATGATAATCCACTTAGATTGCTAAAGACAGCATCAATCCTGCTCATGTTTTTCTAGCAGTCTTCTTTCTTGGTAATTTCAAGAACCATAATCAAGACTACAGAGTGTCACTTTTGAAAGACACTGAAGACATATATAACAAAAGAAAATGATGTAGCTGGATTTACATTAAGTCTCTCTTTTTTTAAATTGTCATTTTGTGTCTTCAATGAGTTGCAAGAGCCAACACTGACGTTCAAATATCTAACTGCCTGCCTAGGAGCGAGCCCAGAACGCAGGCAGATCCTGGGTAGGGGTCTAGAACCTGTCCCTCACAGATGCACATTCAGGAAGGCAACCCTTCACTCCCAAAATAGGAGACAGCTCTGAAATGTTAATTCTGACAAGGAATGAAAATTGGTGTTAAAACAAAGCAAATTTAAGTCTCAGCTATCTTCTAAACATTCATACCTCACACATTCTTAAACTGCATCAGCCATTGTATTTTTCCTTCGATGGACCATCATCAGCACTGCTCACTTGACTTTTCTGAACTCGTATGTTACCAATATATTTACTAGGGTGTTAGTAAGCTAACCTATTTTCAGTACTGCCTGATTTCTAAAGTTTGTGTTTAATATTTTAATTTTGCAAGGAGGGCTACAGACATCTCTTCAATACTGGAAAAAAGCTAACTCACCATTTCCTAATAAGCAGACTTCCCCACCTCACTGCTGAGCATAAACTTATAAACACAGATCCGTTACCAGTCCTTTGATGTTAGCACATATGAATGCAGTGGGAAGTCAAGAAATCCTGAAATGGAAACCCTAAGGAAGAAACTATTGGAAATCTAGTATCATAACTGCTATCAGTTAACAAGAAGAAGTGACATGCATTAAGTGACTAAGTGATTATAGTTTGCCCAAAGTAGTGGTATGTAAGGCACAAGGTGAGGTATACAGTAAGAAGTACCATAATCCCTTAGGGATAGTTGAGAGCATTTTAACTCCTAGTACGGAATTATATGTATAAATAAATAAATAAATAAAACCAGACTTTCATCATAGTAAAGAATATGGTAGTAATTACAAGCGGAACGGTCAATTTATAAGCAGTGTATTTTCCACAGCAGAACAAATTTGATTCAGGGAGACTACCTCAAGCTACAGAACAGATTTTGTACTTTAACAAGTATGCAAACAAATACTAAGATAGCCTATAGTAAAATGTATTTTGCTTCTATACAGGCTGGCTCCTGCTCTCAGGGAAAACACTGTAAAAGCTCCTGCTTGCTCCAGTGGTGGAGAACAGATCTCTTCTGTGGTAAGTGAGGTTTAATTACCCATCAAAATGTCCTTTGATGTCTTAGAAAGGTGGCCAAGAACATTTTAAGAGCAGTAAGCGTGAATGGTTCTGATTCCAAGCGACCTTACACCAGGGAAGGTCACATTTACCTTCAGTTGAGATGAAAATTAAAGCCTCATTGAATACTCCTAACTATTTCTGGAGAGGGGGGGGTGTGACTATTTTTAATGGAAAAAGGATGAGGTCAGCAATTGAAGAAATTAAAATTAGTGAGATACCACTGTAATTTTAAATACTGCATGTAGATCTAGTCCCTGTGAAATATTTTGTAACTCTGAGTAGTAGACCAACTCAAAGCCTATCACTCCACAAATTCTACTGGAGCACCTAGATCCTTGCTTCATCTCACTGCTAGTATGTTCCTCAGCCTCTAGCAAATAGCCTGGAAAGGTTGTCTTGTTCCAATGAATATTGTAAAAAGATCATAAAGTTTCACTTGTCACCTAAATCAGGATTAAATTCTAAAAATTCAATTCTTATTCATGTAGAGGCTGTTTTATACAGTTCTAATAATGCAGTTGGGCCTTAAGCTAGATGTAATGCAATATACACCCACATTCAGGGAACTTTATCTGGCCAGAATGGTATAAAGCAAATTAATGTGTAGGAAAGTTAGGTTTCTGGACCTTCAAGAATTAACAAAAAAACCCAGTAAATTTGCTTGCAAGTTCTCCCACTTTCTACAACAAATTGTTTCCAAAATTATTTGATACACTCATATTTCATGAAATATAGTCCAGATTACGAGTGCCACTGAAAACTGGTAACTTATCTGCTGAATATGTTACTAAAAGCAAGTAGTTCATTTCTCTTCAAGTCCCCTCAAAGCAGAAAATACAAATATTCTGGATTAACAAAAGACTACTATAAAACTCACCAGTAAACACAGAAGGATGAGGGAAGTTAACCACAATCAATTTAGTCACCATTTCTGGGTAACAGATAGCCGCTAACCAAGCGATCATTCCTCCCCAGTCATGGCCAATCAACACACACTTGTTGTATCCTACCACATAAACACAGATTTGGGCTTTATTTCAGTGACATTTGTATCCATACAAATTATCACATACGACGACTGTTAGGTAAAACAGGTAGTCCAGCACATTTGTTAACACAGCTATTTCATACTGCACTGCTTCCATTACTAACGGCCAGAAAAACTAGTGCGCTGTTATAGTTAAAATTTTAACACACGATTAAGATGACTTAGTTTGGCTTCAACTGCACTTTGACCATACGGTGTCAACGTCAAACTAAAGACATTCATGCATCCAAATGGCCACACTGTTCTCATCTCAGCCAATGTAGGGTCAAATACACAATTCAACCTGCAGTCATTATAACGCACGCACACTTGTCACGTTCGGAGAGTTTGGAGTTTGAAACTGGAGGCAGAAAGACTGAGATCTGAGCCCCTCCTGAACAAAACTGATCTGTATGAATTGGTTTAAATATGGGATCTAAGCACTAAACATCATCATTATGCAAAAAGTGGAAGTTATACTTAATAGCCATAGATAAATGTTATGTATATATACTTAGCAGGCCCATAGCACTTCTCCATGTCCTGTTTTGATGAGACTCTTTAAAGTTCTTAGCGTTTACCTACTCATCCTTCCACTGATGAAAATGGGAATTTTACTACTAACAGGGAAAAAAAATCATGACTGTGTGTTTTGAAAGCTTGACCCTTCCTTTTTTAATCAGTCTGGATATATACTATGTTGTCAGAAACCATCACGTTCTCCACTGAATATGGCAATACTGAGCAGGCATGTGCCAAATCAAATATATAAAAGCCAAACTCTTTTTCAGTTCTGACGGAAATTTGGACACAGCTGTCAAACCACCTTTAAAACCCCCCTGAATGGAAATCTCTTTCAGCACTTTTGATATTACCCAGGCTCTCCAGAAGAATTTACTTTGGGTTTAGAACAAAGATAACAAGCCTTAGAAATATCTTTTCTGGAATTTTTAAAATCCCTATGAAATTGCATTATGATGACAGCTCTTCACAAGCATAACCATGGCATTACCATGGAAATTAACACAACCAGAGAAGGTTGGAAACTGTAAACACAAGTGTGGGGACTGCCCGCCCAGTCTTTTGACAATATTCAAACATCACAAGCAAATCCTAAACTCAATCCTTAGGACTGCATGACTGCTTTACAATTTCTTGTATGTGAAAAGCAGTAAGTATTCTCCCTGCCCTTAGAGTAGCCAGGGAATGAAAACGATTCCGAGAGTGACAGTGTAATTCTTTGTCTTGCTGTTGGTATGTAAGGTAAATAATCTTCAC